TAACCGAGTGTTGTTTTACCCGGTCATCGTTTGAGGTGATTCTTCTACCCTACTAGTGGGTCGAAGGAACCAATGCCGACCCGCTGATTTGTATGTGTTGGATGTACATGATTATGTGGCTATTGCTGATATGATTGAATGATATATATATTATATATATATATATAATATATAATATATATCTATATATATATATATATATATATATATATCTCTATATATATAGCCAATCTAGGCGCAGAGTCATTATGGACTCGGGGGTTGATACGTGTGACATCCCCATTTTCACGGCCAGAAAAAACCGATTTTGTTTATGCTTTATAGAAATCAGAGTACTTCTTTTAATAAAAATGTTGCGGAATTTGTTCCAGAAAAACATGATAAATACGTTATCAAAGCATTTCCTAAGAAATTATTTATTCATTTTAAAACATTTGTGATGTCATCGTCAATACAGAAACATAAGCATAAACAGAACTTACATTTATTTACACTAGTGATCTACATCCCTTTAATCTCTTAGTGTAAATTAGCTTCATATCGACACCTGTGATACAAATAAGCTTGAGTGGGTCAGGTTGGGAAACCTGGTGAGTACATAGGGTTTTTAACCCACAATAATATAGTTAATTTGTTTCTTCACATAATACATGTCAAAGAATTAACCCGGTTGCCCATCCCCATTTTCTTCATTTTATATTCCCTAAAGAATTATCTTAAGGGTCATCTCCTATATCTTATTTACCTCTCATCTCTTTACATCACATTTCCTTATATGTTCGTTCCTAAGGACTTTTCCTGAGGATCATTGCCTACGTCACATAATCAGTAATGATTTGGGGATTACCCCCTCAATACGCGCCTAGTAAGGGTTGGAGTATCATCGCAGGAATACGTAGTTACAACATCGCCTGAACTCGTAATTCATAGTAAGGGTTAGAGTATCATCACCTGAATACGTAGTTACAACATCGCCTGAACTCGTAATTCATCACCTACAGGTTATGAGCATGCTGGTGTTTCCACAGGGTAGTCTAGAATAGTCTGTGGTCGCCATCTATACTCTGGTAGATGACTACATCTCCACATTGTCGGACAAGGTTAAGGTATCTTTCATCCTATATCCCCAATTCATCATCACCTATCTATCCTCACCTAATTATCATCACCTTCATATCATCACCTATCTCTCATAATTTTATTTCATTACACACCAACTATTTCGTCTACCCATGTCATACCCAACATATTTGTAGATATAAAATACATATACAGTTTAAATAATTTTAAAACATGTATAAAACCAATCATCCTGCATAGACAGCAAGTATTCAGATAGTATACACACATAGCACGTAATTTATATAAAATACTTCATATCTATGTGTAAGATGAAAGTAACTATGCACTCACTTGATAAGGTGGTGACTCGGTACTTGGACAGCGCTTCGTTTACTTTAAAATAATTTCCTTCGACGAAACCTAGTATTATTACCACTAGATTTTAGTCTAATATTTATCGTGACTAATTATTAGTCTTATTATTATTATTATTATTATTATTATTATTATTATTATAAAAGCGTTTAAACAATACTTTCCAACCACTATGTACAGACAGGGGCCAGACATAAAACACCGGAGGGCAGGACCATTTTGGCATATAGCACTTCTGAAACCCAACAACCCTATGCGGCCCTTTAAACCAGATTCCCCGTATCGCGAGTAGTTAAAAAGATATTATAACGACACTTATATAAGTCATAATAATAGCTCAATATTTATTATAAGTTCATATAACAATACTAATTTTAAATATAATCTATATTAAAATAGTAAGCATAACTTACTTACAAGGGGGTTTTAGCTAGGAGTCGGGCTCTGCAGGGGCAAAACTTCGTCGCTGAATCTTTCTAAGAAAGATTCGTGCAGCGCTTCAGCGCTCACCTTACTATACTAAAACTATAGAAAGAGAAGTCGAATCACGAGGGACCGAAATGCTCAGGGGATAAGAAGAGAAAGACTCTTGAATCAAGAGAATGGTGCAAGAAATATGAGAGCCCAAGCCTCTTATTTATAGTAATTGAATTTACAAAAACTACCCTCCATAATTACTTAATGACCTTATAGTTATATAAACGACTAAGCACCCCTTCATAATACTATTTTAAATAGATTTAACGATATTTGTACTAAACTAATGTCGAAAGTACTCAACACTAGTCTTATAATAACCGCATCACCGATACCTTTCTAATGATATATACATTTGTATATATATGTGTACGTATATATGATTTATACTTTATTTTAATACGTAAATATGCTATTATAATTTGTAACGCGTTCATACGAACTCCATTTTTTGACGTTCTTTATATCCACGCGTTGGTATTTACGAGTACTACAACTTTCATTTAGACGCTGTCAGCTAATTCTCATTCTATCTATCTCAGATTACAAAACTGTATCAAATTTATCGCGCTCGAAGAGTAGGGACCAAGTTTCGTCTATATCTTTAACATACGAGCTCTACTTCTTTCATTTACGTCTCCCGGTGCCGTGCCTGTTTTGCCGTAAAACTTCGACGGGCCATAACTTCTTCGTTATAACTTGGATTTCGGCGTTCTTTATATGTACGGAACCCTTGTAACATATACTAAAAATTGGTTAAGATTAATCCTTCTAAATAATCTTCCATCAAAAACTCATTTTTGATGTTCATCGTCTCTAAATTGACTAGCCCGGATCTGCGGGCGTTACAATACGAACCCGACACAACTACTTGTTGTCATATGGGGCTGATACGGACCTGACACAGCCACGTGATGTTATATATATATATATATATATATATATATATATATATGTGTGTGTGGTGTGTGTGTGTTGTGTTGGGTGATACTTTGGGGAAGCTCCTAACCTTTGGGAAGCTCACTAAACCTTGTGGTTATAGTTTATGTTTATAGTTTCAGGTACTTCCGGTTCGAAATGGAAGAGCACGTCGTGATGGCACATCATCCTCCCTTTATGATTTTCGCAGTTTTGGATTTTTGTACTTTTATATTTTGATATTACATTTGGTGATGGTTTTTGAATTCATTGATGAATGAAACTATTGGATCTAAAAGCGAAACTTTTTTATCACTGTTTTTGGGTTGTTAAAGTTATTTGCGGCCTTGCATTGGTATATGTAACGTGATTGATTGCCTGGTGAGGATGGGGTCTTTAATTAGTCACGTTTTGATATTTCTTTAGGGGTTGATATCATTTTGGACATGTCGTTGAGTTTTTATTTACCGTTGGTTTTGTGAACTTTAAATATGATGGAGGTTGTTTTGATAATAAAGTAACATTGATGATGTTTATGTAATAACTGTTAAATAAGACTTCCGCTAACGTATTCTGTTAAACGTGTTTAAAAGTTTGAGGTAAAAGATCACGATGTTACAAAACCTCCATATTTAATTACTCAAAGTGAAATTTTTTACTTGTAAGGATGTTAACAGTGTTAAGGATGGTGAACATTGTGGTTATGTAGCTCGTGTATGTGGCAAAACACATAGGAGGTTATAAGGGAAAATTCGTCCAATATAATTTTTAAGGGCAAACACATCAGAGGTTGGGATTTCAGATGCTTCTCTTCCCACCACTGTATCTGGAAGTTAAGATGAATGATTTCTTGATTTTATATTCAAGGACATGAAAAAAATAATTATATTTTGTCAATATGATCTTTAACTACTGCATGTAACAAAAAGATAGAGATGGATGGATTATATGAGCCAACCACAGATATCCCATAAGTAGAAAATTAGTTGATATAATTAAATCTTTTTTTAATTATATTATTTCTGAGATGAACTTAAATGGAATGGGTCTTGAAAGTTTGTCTTGAAACTGTTATTACAATGCTAGTGGTTTGCTTATATACTCATACACATTGAACTTAAATGGTTGAATTCTAATGAGGGTTGTAAGGTAAGCTTTTAGTTTATCTTCAACCCCCATTTATACGATTTAAAACTTATAATACCTTTTTGTTTTAGTTACATTGTAGAGACTCTTGGTGTATGCAATGGAAAAGTGAAGGAGCTTCTAGGTTATATAGTTTCAGTTCAAGGTGAAGATGAACACAAGTTTTGGAGTCCCTTGTTAGGTCGCTTCCAGAAATTGATTGTACGGTTGGCGAGAATGGTCCCATTTTCTTGGTAATATTCATTATATCGTTAGTGATATTCAAAGAAAATTCAGTTGAAAGAAACCCGTTGATTGAATTGCGAAAAGAGATTCAAGAGGACAATAAAAAAAACAAGTCGAATTAGAAACTATGCGAATAGATATAAACAACCAACGAGAAAGTTTATACCATAACTGCATGTCAATATACCATAATTAAAAAACAAAAATAACCTTAATGTGTAGGGCACCTAAGGGGTTACATGACTTTTAAATGAGGGACCAGATACGTTATAAATTTTGAAATTAGGCACCAAAATTGAAAGATTAAAAGCTTGTTTGACAAAACTAGATAGAAGTTGGTAGCTGATAGATAATAGCTGGAAGCTGGTAGTTGATTGTTGATAGCTGAAAGTTGTAACTTTTATTTATACAAAAATGTTTGACAAAACTAGTAGTAGCTTTTTAAATGTATAAAATTAATTAAAACCTAAAAATTAAGGTCCCAAAGGCTATTTGAAGTAGTTTTTTAGATTCGAAACTTTTTGTTTAAAGTAAAAATTAAAAATTTCCTATGAGACAAACAAAATTATTTTTCGAGTTTTTCTTAAAAGTTAAAAAGCTTATAAAAGTTTTATACCAAAAATACTTAACTTTATTTATTTATTTTACAAAAACGATTTCCATATCACCACTTTTGTGATTTTTCCTAACAATTGATCATGTGGAAAAAAATAATTTATATGGTTTTTTTTTTTTTTTTTTTTTTTTTTTGAGCAGGAGTACATGGGTTTAGCCTTAAAATTTTAACCTAAAGAATCGAGCAAACGGATGATCGAAACAAAAATGTCGGAGTTAGCGGAGCTGGAGAGACTACAGACCCAAATCCTCTATCGAATAGCAAAACTCGAGCTCTTAATCCTTCCTCCATCCAACAATTCTCCCAATAAAGATCTCCCCACGACCACTGAAGCACGCCTCTCCGCCGTCCTTGTCGACTCCGGCGTCAAAGACTTCTCATTCAAGCGCGTTCCTTCCGACTACTACGATTGGTCCTTCGAAGCTCGAAGAGACATTCTTGGCGCCGCCTCTATTCATCATCTCTGCAAAAGCATTGTCCTGGTACTACTAATTCAACCGATTCCATTTGTTTTAACAGTAATGTATTGTGTTTTTGGTGTTTTCGGAAGGTCGAATGCGTTATCTTTTGTGAATTTAACTGATTCATGTTCGAATTTCTGATTGGTTATGTGATAGACCGTATGTGTTTGAATCAAATACTCCATAGGTTTGCAATTTTCACTTTCGATGCCAAACAATTTGCAGAAAAAAGTTTACTTGATATTTGTATTTGAACATACAATTTGTAATCAAGAATCACTAACATAGGGGCAGTTTGTATGCGCCTCTAAGATGATTATTGTGACTTCAAATGGGAATTATCCGTGTTTAATGTTTTGATCATTTAGGGTGAAATTGATCTTAATATCCCAAACTCTAAACAACAGATTATATGATTATATGCTGATTTGATTCTGCTTGTGATTCTTTAACTTCTTAAAGTGTGCATGATCTTGAATTAGAGCTCTAATCAATAATACTTGAATATAACTTATTTGACTAATTTCACTTCTTAAAGTGTTACAATTTTTTTTTAAAAAAAAATTCTTGTTGCTCCTTGCAGGTAAATACTCAAGCTGCATCCAATATTACTGATTGCAGTGACCGCCAAAATTCAAAATACTATGTTGTTGTTGTTCAGGTGCTGTTATTATTATTATTATTATTTTTTATAATATTTTTGTTGGCAATAATACAAACTACTATGCTCTCTATTTATCTTTATCTTTTTTTGGTTATTGCAGTACACTGCTCGATTTAGTGCTGAAAATGTAAAAAAATTTCCTTTATTCCCTCAACAATGGCAAGATACCCAAAAAGAGATTTAACTGTAAGTAACATCTATGTTAAAAATGACCATTTTACCCTTCTGTCTACAAGGGATGCTGAATAACAAATGACTGTTTATTCGAGAGCTGTTATAGAGTGACATTGTAAATGACAAAAAGGAAAAGTTGTTGAATACTGAAATAAACAGCACATGTAAGTAAATGACCATTTTACCCTTGCAGTGAGACTTGCTCCTGAAGAGATATCACACAATCTGACTGGTTTTGAACACAATGGAGTAACATGTGTTGGCATGAAAACAGACATTCCGGTAAGCAGAAATTTTATAAAACTTCATATTTTTTGTGTATAATTATTTAACAATTTTGCAAGTTGCAAATTTTATAAGAAATCAAATATTTTTTTTGTTATGATTATATAATCCTTTAAGTAAACTGCAAGAATGGTTCTGTGTTTAATAAAAAGTTGTGGATTTAGTTCCTTGACAAATGGACGTTTCTTACAACTTTTTTCTTGTCAAGGGACTGAATGCACAATTTTTTGCTAAACAGAGGGACCATTCTTGCAGTTTATTCTAATATTTATGTGGTGAAAAATGACAGGTTATTTTGGATGAAGCTATTGTGAAGCTTAATCCGGACTTTTTTTGGTTGGGTGGGGGAGAGATTGATCTAAAACTTGGAATTAGAACATCCGAGTTCATCAACTTTGCAAAACCTTTTATTGTGAATTGTAGTGGTTCTTGAACTTTTTGAAGCAAAAGATGTTTTGTTGGTTTTTATATTTTTATTATTTTTTATACCCATTAGTCATTTGTAATCAACTAATTTGACGAAATGATGTATGAATTATGATTTAATCTTCAATGTGATATGGTGAATGACACGAATCACATGATCTTGTCTATTATTATCATGCAAAAAGAAAGATATATTTAAGGATGACAATTCTCGATCCAACTTGTAACCCGATATTGACCCAACTTGAAATAGTGTGCTTACTCTACAACCCACATTTTCTTCAAAAGGTGGAATGAGAAGTGCCTCTCTTATGAAGTTGATTAATATTTCCAACTTTTTTCGTCTGGACACCATATACTTTGACCCCTTTATCTAAACGCTCAAAACCATTGGAACTGTCATCGGTAGCTTTAACCACATAACATACACAACACTAGGGTTATGTAAAAGTCTCCATTTCCATTTTTACAGCAACACATTGTTTAATGCTTGCATCACGGAAAATATTTTTGCATAATTCCTTCATTTTTCTTCAAAACTAGCTCGAGAGCCGGTCCTGAAAGGTAATCGGTATTTTCCATCAAAAACCTCATATCCTCCATTTATTGTTTCTCCACGTGCTCTTTTTTTTAGTTTTTTTTTTCGAACGCCAAACGTTCAACGGAATTAAGATTATATCGATCAAATGTCGCCATCATTTTCCGCATTTTGTCTGTGTCCATGATAAAATCCTATGCGCCCGAAGAAGTCCCCATTCCCTTCCTTTTTGCTAAGTCCTTACCCATCGGTCGGACAATTTCTTCTAGCTCAAGTTCGTCCTCCTCATTTAAATCTAGACTGACCTGAGCATCGGAGGAAGTTGTGTAACCACTAGAGCCCGTTTTTGTTCGCTTTGATTGTTGTACTTCAAGTATAAGTCTTGGTCGTATTTTTCCACCTAGGACTTTTAATCAATATTTTCCAACAATCATGCCACTTGAATGACTTTCTCACTTCCTCTAGAAAAAAAATGCAAAGCTTCCTGAAGTATTTCTTCATCTCCTTGACCGCTTTTCCGTTGGGTTTTAAGGTTGTTGTACAACCCATTCATTTTTTAAACGACCTTAGTTTATTTCTTGAAACTTTGAATTCAATTGATGATTGGTACGGTACTCGTCACCTTTTCCCATCTTCTTGCGAAACCTCTCAAGAATTTCGAAGCCAAAAATGATCCCTCGATTGTGCATTTCCCGTCGTCGAATCCTCTGAAATGTCAACCAAAGCTTTTACCATAATTATCTCTTCTTGTGGAGTCCATGCTTTCGGCTTCTGTCTTCCAGGTTGTGCGGCACCCTCCTTCACTTGTTGTTTTCCTTTGTGTCGTTAGGGGGGGGGGGGTTGAGTTTCTCGTACAATCTTTTCATCCGATTCATCGATGCTTTGGTATTGTGGTTGAGATCGAGAGGGTTGTGTTTGGGTTTGGGTTTGCGATTGAAAGAGTGAGATTTGAGTTTGGGGTTGATTTGGCGAAAGTTGATCGGGAGAAGCAACAAAGTTTGATAACATATTTGGAGTAACATTTGAAACTTGCATCGAGTAAAACTGTCTATCATTTTGGTATTGGAATTGTAGTGGAAATTGAATGGGAGCATCGAGTTGTGGACAATAAACCCCTTGAGATGAATCGATAACGAAAATGTTTTCAAGTTGGGGTGCTTGAACTCGAAACATTGTTTTTTTTTCCTTCTATCGGAGTTTGGGGTTTTATCGTGGGGATTCATTTTTTTTTTGAAGAAAGTAGAGAGAAATTGATAGAAGGAGGTGTGAGTTTGAAGGTTAAAGTGTATGTATATTTATAAATGTTGTAGAGGGTTAAAAAAAAATTTAAAACTCAATTTCCTATATCTAGCTGTTGAGTAAAAAAAAGTTAATTTTTCTATATATTACCGTTTCTGTTGAGTAAAAAAAAAGTTAATTTTTCTATATATTACCGTTTTTTAATGGTTAGAATGAAAAAAAAAAAATTGCCGGTCAATATTACCTTTCCCGCAGTCCCGGTGCGGTGTTCCAGTGGGAAAGGGTCCCGTAGGCCTTCCCTCGAGCACTCCGTCGGGTCTTAATGGACCCTCCCTACCCCATAACTTTAGTTTTTGCAAATTTATTTTCAACCTAGACACAAGTTGAAAACAATGAAAAACTCGCACTAGATTTCCAATTTTTCACGCGAACAGTTTCTTTTGGAAAACCACATCATACAATCTCAAACCTCTCTTAAACACAACATTTCATTTATAAATTATCGTAAACGACAAATTCTTTTAACTTGAAATTTATGTCTCCTTAAATCTCATGTTTTAAGTTTTCTTATTGCAATAAAAAAAGTGTTGATTTAATAGTATAATTATTCATTATAAACAGTGAGGATATTTATTAGAATGTATAAAGTAATTGTTTATTTGTCGGTAAGTACCACTTTTGAAAGAATATGCTAATTTCAGAGGCCGAGAGAATAGAGGGCCGCAGGATGCTCTCCCTCCTAATCACTCATTAAATTTTAGCAACGTTACAAATAAAATGACCCCATGAGTTGTCATTAAGCCCATAACAATTAATTAATAATCTCAGCCCCGCAATTATTTTAAAAATTAATTATCTTTATCTACCCTAATAAATGAAGATTCATTTTCCCAAATGTCAATCTCTAATAAGTTTTGACAATTGTCATTTTGTGATATTTTTGAAATAAATAATATCAACATGTCAATTTCTAAATTTTTGAACTTTTAAAATTAAAAAGCCACATAATACATATAGTTATATAAGTAAAGTTACATTGAGACCTCTAATTTTGTGGTTTACTTTGCAAAGGGTTACATTGAGACCTCTAATTTTTTAGCACCCTAGTTATGTTCTTATTTCTTAAAGATGGTAAAAAGATTAACAAACGTTTCAATGTAATTATAGTTGTTCTGTTGCTTGATTTATATGATCAAAATACGTTGGCTCAAGATCATCACCATAAAATTGCATAAATTAACATCATTATGGTAGGAAATAACATTGCAGTTTGCAATTTTGGGTTATGGTTGAAAACAACTATGTTGAATGTTGTTTTAAAATTTCTCCCACAAACTATATACATGTCGAGCTGCGTTTTTCAATATAACGAGCTCTCGCAGCATCACGCGAACGATCCAAACCCTAGTTTTTGTTCGTCGACAATGTTAATTTTCTAAAAGATATTGTTTCCGATTACACTATTATATCAACACAATTTCAATTTTCTTTAAGAAGGTAAATTTTAATTCTTATTGTATATTTTATTTTTGTTACTTATAATTAATAATTTAATTATATTTGATAATTTGATTTATTATAATCATAAGGTAAATTACATGCGATAAAATAATCATCAATTCTTTTTTCAAAGGAATAGAAAATGAATATGAGTCAATACTGTTGAAAACTTCTGAAAATTGATTATTATAATGGTCGATGAATCTTTTATATCAACAAAATTTTCTTTTTCATTTTTCTTTTAAAATTTAAAACTATATTATTTTATTTAGTATAGCATTATATTTTAATATTTTATTACAATGTGAGATTATCATTCGCTGTTATTCATAAATTCTGACTTCACCCCTGGCTAGTAATTCACTGTGTAGAATTGATGTGATATTACATCAGTATGGATGATCTAGCGGTTAATCAATCATTTTTACTCCAGACTAGATTCAATAACATTTCAAAGTTTAGGGGGCAACTTAGTTGACTACGCTGATAAAATTAAATTTATCGAAATCAACTATCAGAACCGAAATAAAGTGACATATTCCAAACTCAACCCAAATTACGGGTTATTTCAAGATTTTCAAAATGTTTGATTGAATGAGTGTTGAGTCAGTGCTGAAATTCTTGACATGACACTCGCCAACCCATTTAAATATAATATTAATATTTTACCAGTTGTGAGACCCATGCATTACATGAGTTTATATCTAAAAGACAAAATTGCAAAAATGGTTCCCGTGGTATGTATTTTTTTGGGGTTTTATTCCAAACCTTGACTTTTTTGGATTAGTGGTCCTTTTGGACTAGTTTGTATGTGAAAATGGTCCTTGTGAAAATTGAAATGACTATAATACCCTTGGGGTATTTATTTTTCATTTTCTTTCATTATTTTAAAATCTAATACTATTTATTTAATTATTTTAACAATTAAAAAATAATAAAGGACCCACCTCTCTCTCTCTCTCTCTCTCTCTCTCTCTCTCTCTCTCTCTCTCCTGCCTGTACGAAACGATTTCCCAGTTCATATTCTCCAACCAAAGATCATGATTGCAGCCCCAAAACATTAATTATGTTCATAAAACAAAAATGATGAAGGCCTCAATCAAATTGATTAGATAAATCCAAGATTTTTAATTGGGTACTACTCATGGATAATGCTTTAACTCCACAAACCAACTTCTGGTTCTTAACAACAAACCCTTTATAGCTTTGAATTAGAAGGCAAAATAAGATCTTGGTTATGCACAGATAACGAAGGCAAAATGGAGTCCTCACAAAGTAGCCTTAAACAATAACACCAGTAGACGACATCAGAGGAGGTATAATCGAAAGCAGAGACCAGTTCTTCCTCATCCAATATTGTTGATCGATCAAAAAGGAAAACGAAAATAATGAGGGGGAAAATCGGACATACAAGGGTCGCAAGAGGTGACGGGGCTGGTCGGAGATGACCGACGGAAGCAACAGCTGACGACGACGGTGGTTCACATCAGCGACGACGATGGTGGCAGGGGCTGTTCCGGCGGCTTCTGCTGCTTCGTTTTCTGGTTTTTCCGTTGAGCTCGATGAGAGGGAGGGTAGGGAGGAATGAGGGTTGTGTTCGGTGGTGATTTTTAATCGAGAGAGAGAGAGATAGTGGTATAAGGTGGGTATCAGTGGTGGTGGGTCACGACTGGAAGGTGGTGTTGGGTGGTGTCCAGTGGTCACAATAACCGAATGGAGGTGGTGATTGGGTACAAGAAGAAGACACAAAATTTTCATAAGTTAGACAAAGTTGTTGTTTACTCCATATGCAGAGAGAGAGAGAGAGAGAGAGAGAGAGAGAGAGAGAGAGACTCATTTTATTATTAATAAAACATTAAATTAACAGAGAAAATATAATAAATATATCAAGAGGGCAATTTAGTCATTTCAATTTTCACAGGGATCATTTTTACATACAAACTAGTCCAAAAGGACCACCAATCCAAAAAAGTCGAGGTTTGGACTAAAACCCCAAAAAAATACATACCTAAGAGACCATTTTTGCAGTTTTGTCTATCTAAAAAAATAAAAAAACGATATAACAATTTAGAAAAATTAAATTTATAAGAAAAAAAATATTTAATTATTAAAATTAAAGTGCTTATTTATATTATAAATTTAAACTAATAATTTAAATAAATAAACAACTAAAATAATTGGATTCAATTTAGAAATTTAGAAATTATAAGGAAGGTTGCATTAACAAATTAGATATACATTTATTACATTTAAGTATTATATGAAATTTATTAAAATAGAAAAAACCACAAAATGACATATTTATATACCTTAATCTAAATTTATTACAATGACATATGACATAATAAATAAAAGGATTACAAGTCACAAAATTATTTTCATTTATAAGGGAGGGAGAATATTTAGTTTGATATGACCATATCAATATTTAGTTCTCACACTCAATAGATATATAAATAAAGAATCCTAATTCATAAACTTGTGTGCTTCTCCTCATTTAATAATTTCTATCATTCCCTTACAAGCTTACGAGTAATAAACCATAATCCATAATAATCGTCTATCTCAAGCCTCAGTGATTTCTCTACTTCCTTCACCAATCACCCTCTAGCCACCAAATTTTAAATTGAATCACTGTTAGCACCTTCAGGGCCACCAGTATCCTGAGCCTCTTAAGTTTCTCAACTAACAAGGAAAGCTGCATTAATTTGTAGTCGCAATTATGATAAATTCGTCAACTTCCTAATCTTGTAGAAGATGCATGTTTGGGATTTGGACTGCATTTATGGATGGAGGTATTGATTTTTTATATTGGGATTTAGGTATTTAAAAATTATCTCCCGACAATAAGGTCAAGGGGCATTGTGCATTGTTGTACAAGTGAATAATCATAACGTAGGATCGAGTTTTTTGCACCCTACCAACAATTACCTAATTAAAGTAATCGAAATAGAAAAGAGAAACAATCTGAAGATATTATTTGCAAATTATCTTTGTAAGGCTACCCATATTAAGATGTTCACTGCTAGAAAGCTGTCAATTTACCTACAACAAATCATAGTTATAACTTATAATTTGTATCGCTTGCCTGATTATTTAACAAACATTTGCAAATATTTTGCGTTATGTTCATATAATAAGGAGTCAACTCGATCTTAGGCATGCTAAGATGAAGTTTATGTATTGATATATCACAATGGAACTAGAAAACATATTACACAACCGAAGTTATTAATCAAATATGAATCATGTGTCCTTTTTGCATCCATTGGTTTGGAAACTTTTTTCAAGAATATCAACAAGGCAGTGCACATGCAAATGTCCCACATGACGTATAATTATAAGACAAAAAGAACACAAAAGGGTCCTGGAATTTTGGTTACCTGGGACATGTCTCATCACTATACTCACATCAGTGTCTCTTTTTGTCATCTAATTGGCTTAAATTGAGGCTACACTTGATATGGATCACCCTCTACTTTGAAATGTGTTACCATCTCACTTCAATTTTTTAGGGAGACCAACTAAAACCATGACAAGCTTTTAATTTGTCATGTGTCGTAAATGTAGTCATAATCCATATACCTAGAACAAATAGTTTTGTCTAAGTTTTGAGGTCCTAAACTCTGGTCCCCTTCAAGCTATCTTGTATGCATGTTTCTATGTCTTTAACTATACATTTGTAAAGTTGTTTTCACAATCTTAATTAATAAAGTTCTTCATAATGAGCCTGCAGTGATGATCTATTAACCAAAAGGGAGTTCCTTATTTCAGAAGAACAACGATCGAACAGAAGTGCATTGGTGATTAAACAACTTGAGGACTTATTGTCAACTTGATTTCCTCTTTGTTGCCAGGTTTGGGATGCTTTTGTTATAGGAGTATGAACTTTTTGGCATGTTTTCAGTTTTAGATGAAAATTTTGCATTACCCCCTGATTGGCGTTTTAGGATAGTAGTAATGATAAATTATGCGTTAACTTTTCAATTATCATTTATTGAGCAACTATGGTTCTTGAAATCGGTCATTCGGTGAGGAAAAAAAAAGCTTAAGTAGATTGTGTAATTTAGATCATAGTAGCAACCTCATTTTTAGTTCCTGTAGTTGATTGGGGAATTGAAGAACATATTAGTAAATTATGTTGTGATAACTATTTCACATCTCTATTATGGAGACATATAGTCCCTACATGTACGTTAAGCACTATTAATGGTATATCTCATAAGCAAACTATTTAGCAAATTATAGAGTTTTGTATCAATCAATTGTGTTTCTAAAATATATTTACCAATTGATGGCATATCTAAAATTAATTACCAAAAGATGGTAAACTATAATTTTAATATATTATTTTATTCTTTTACTACTTTATTAATGGAAAATTACAATTTTTATACAAATCATGACTAAATCTTAGATTCCAAACAAAAATCATACCAAAAGCAAATTGCTGGATGAGAGATATAAACAATTCTTGTGGTACGTCTCGCAATTCATATCTCATACCCATTGGCCATTGATACAATAAACTGGTGGCAGATGGATGGCAGGAAAATATTGAGGAAAGGAAGAAAAAATCTTTAAAATCCATAGTGTTAATGCTGCAAAAAGTCTTGTCAAATCTAATACAGGTTTGTTTCACCTGTATATGGTGGAAAGGATTTGCAAACATCCGCTATTGCTCACTTTGTTGCAGACTAACCCAAGTTCCTTGTTGACACTAATGACAAAAAAAAAAAAAAAAACGAGGATGATGGTGCGAAATTAAAAAAAAAGTTGAGGCGAGAAAAAGATCGAAATTTAAGGCGTAAGCACGTCGTCCTCTGCACATGCACAAGATCATAGTCTTCAACCAAAGTACGATCGTTAGTGATGTAATTCTCTAGGATGAAACACGTTAATAGTGTTTTAATACGTCGGATTGTAGAATTAAAAAGATTTTCAAATGTCTTCCGTTAGAGGAATTCGATTAAACTTATCTGTGTATGACAATGAATAAATCTTTCTTAATGCACGTTATTCGACAAATGTGTTAGCTCCATTCCCTTTTCTTTTGAACCGAAAGTTATGCAAACTATGTTTTGACACTTAAAAGTCGATCAAAGACTTGGTTTAATTAAATGAATGGAGTGATAATTCCGGGTAGCTAACATATGCTCAAATAATGATCTGATGCTAATCAATTCACACAGTTTCTTCTCCAAATGACATGTGACAGAGTACATCGGAAGAACGGAACGAACAATCAAGAACCATGGTGCTGATTTTCTTGAACTGTCGTGGTTCCATACTTCCATAAATGGCTCCAATGGAGAAGAAATGGAAGGAAGAGAGAGAAGACAAAAGAACCGATGTGAGGGAGACTCAAGTGGGATCTATTTGTTTTATTATTTTTAAATTTAAAATAATTAAGATCTATTATCTTTTAGTAAATAAATTTGAAACCATTGGTAAATATTTCTTTTAACAAATTAATGAAATCGTTTTGCTAAAATATTATGGTTGATCCTTAATTTTTTTTTTCACTTGGACCGTCCGTAGGTTTTGATTTGGATACGGTGTAAGTCCCTGCCTATTAGGAAATGACTAAAATGCCCTTAATATTTTCATTTTCATTTTTTTATTTTATTAATTAAAAAAATCAATTATTATACATAGGTCTCACCTCACTCCCAACCATCTCACATTCTCTCCATACGTCACTCTCTCATATCTAATAAAGAAGTAATGCAACCCCCACCACCGATGACACCAAATCATGGCCACCAGAACCATCAGATCGGTTCGGAACCAGCAGATCGTCGGCGGCGGACCCACTAAAAAACGTTAGACCGCCATCTACTCCATATTCCTCGACTCTTTCTTCTTGTCGTGTTTATCTCTCTCGCTGGAAACCTCTTCCGCCTCTATCATCGATTATGTAAAGGTTTTCCTGACATCGATTTCTCTCTACCCCATCTTTCTCCCATTTTGTCTGATCTGCTTGTTGATCGCCTTCCTGAAGTGGATCTATTTGGCGGTGGTCGATGTAAGTCGTGGTACCAACAAATCCAGTGGTTGTGGCTTTAGGGCACAGTAACGGTGTTGGCTTTAGGGTGGCAGTGGAATCAGATTTGGATCCAGTGGTAATGGCTTCAGGACATTGTGGTTGTTGTGGCTTCAGTGCATAGATAGTAGTGATGTGGTGTACATCGATGCTCTGGTCATCAGAGTTTTGGTATCGCTGGATTTGAGTTTCGACGGTGGGGTAGCTTGTGTTTGCTTTAGATTTGTTCATATTTGCATTAACTTTGGTTTTCTTATTTCATCAATTGTTTAGGTTATATAATAGATTTTGATGATGGTAGGTTTCCGATGATGGTTAGTGATATATGGTAGTGACATGTGGTAGTGACGGTGTGATTGTTTGATTTCTGATTTTGATTTTTAGTTTTTCGGGTAGATTATGGTTTGATAATTGTTTCAGGTTCGATTGTGGTGGTGTTTTAGGTTCTAGATTTATTTTCCGGTGGCTGGTGGTGGTTGGAGGTGGCTGATAGTGGACGGTCACTAGTGGTGGGAGTAGGAGTGGGAGTGGTAGGAGTAGAGTCGGAATGGGAGTGCAAATGGGTTCCATTTATCAATAAATCACTTAAGTCATTTATTTTAATTTAAATAATAATAATAAAATTGAAAAAGAAAAAATCAAGGGCATTAGAGTCATATCCTATTAGGCAGGGACTTACACCGTAACAAAATCAAAACCTAGGTACGATCCGAGTACAAAAAAAAGTTAAGGACCAAACATGAAATTTTGACAAACCATATAGACGATTTCAGCATTTTGTTCTATTTTTAAAAACTACTATTGTTCACCTAAATAGTATTGTATTTATTGTAATGATCTTTTTCCTTATTTTTTTACCTTATTGTATTACAAATCGTCAATGACGGTGAATTTATCAAACCCTACATGGTATTATCCTAAACATTAGTCTTTACTTATTCTAGTTGTCGTCGCTGCCTCTTTCCTTCCTATGGTTACCGACGTTCATATTGATTCCTCTCTCACTCTATCTACCCTCTTCTTCACATGCTTATAATTAAGATTTTTTCCACCAATTATCCTTTGGCAGAACCAAATCTTACCTCTTCTTGCTTATCAAAAAATTATTGGATACATCGATGACACCGGTCCTCTACCCCATCAATCATCGACACTCAAAGGCATAATCTGACATACTTGGTAAGATGGTGATCAATGTGTATTTTTATTCTCATTTAGAAGTATCCATGGACGAAGCCTTAGGTCTTCAGGATGCTCGGTCCATATAAGCTGCCTATAGCCACAACTCCATTGAGCAAATGCAAAATATCTGTGATCCTTCTAGTCAACTAAATAAGGTAATTCCATTTTAAATCCCATTATAATCAATTATCTACCATCAAACATCTCGTTGATGATGTTGATAAGTTCTTCGGTTTCTTTGCGGTCTTGATCCTTCTTTTGAGATTTTATACATTGCTTAATGTGTTCTTAAACCATTAACTACCTTTCATGACTTTCTTTCTTAAGATGACGATCATTGTCTTTTTATCCGATCAATGCATGGTTCCACCATGCCTCTAGCATCCTTTGTCGCTAACCATGCTCGTTCCCTCAGGTTAATCAACTAATAGTGGTTCTTATGTAGGCAACCATGGCCAGAGCTCCAATAGTCACGACTCTTCCTCTGATGGTCAAGGTAATGGTTTCCTACCTCCTCACTGTTAACTATGTTGCAAAGATAGTCATTATGCGAACCAATGTCCAGATATTGCCTATGTTTCTTCTCATACTCTGGTGTTAAATGCAAACCTTGCTACCACTTTTCAATCCCAATGCCATGTTAGTAACAACTTTCCAGATTGGTATGTTGACCCTGGAGAAACTACCTACATGACCATTTCCACCTATAATCTTGATGTCGCAAACACCTACACAAGAAATATTGCATCATCTTTGGCAATGTTAATACTATTCTTTTTTCTCATATTGGTCATTCGCTGCTTTTAGAAAAGATTCAACTTCTAGATATCATTGTAGTCCCCCATCTTACAACAAAAACTCTTTCCATTAGAAAACTTACAAAAGATCAAACAATTGATATCTTATTTACCGAAAAACATTTTTCCACTTTGAATCGCCTCAGTCATTCTAACTCGAGATTAATTGTGGTCTTTACATTCTTGAGCAAGGTAAAAAAATCATCATTGGAAAGTTTGTCTTTAAATCACCTTTCCATTAGAAAACTTAAAAAAGATCAACCAACTAATATATGTTACTTCTTTGTTACTAAAACCGCATGTTTTCACTTCTTCCCAACTTTCCAAAAGCAAACCTTTACATTTTGAACTAAATAAAAAATGTTTATTGCATGTCATAAACATTGTTCATTATGATTTTTGGGGTTTGACTTTTATTATGTGTAATATTACATCATCTTTGTGGATGATTTTTACCGGTTCACTTGGGTAAAATCTAAATCACTTGTATTTCCATGATTTTTCAAGCTCATAGTAGTTTGTTGTGGATGGAGCGACCAAGAATATCAATCATGCTCTACTTATAATGAATGCACATATGCATGTTGTATAATAAAGAATATGTCTTATATTGGTCACATACAATTATTAAAAGCTACATGATTAGAAGAAGAGCACGTTGTTCGAGGGTTCAACATAAACATATCAAGGGCATTATAGTCATTTCATATTAGGAAAGGAACTTACACCATAACAAAATCAAAACCTAGGGACGATCCAAGTGCAAAAAACAAGTTAAGGACCAAACATGGAATTTTGGCAAACCACATGGACAATTTTAGTAATTTATTCTCTTTTTTTTTTAAACTACGACGGTTCACCTAAATAGTATTGTACTTATTTCAATGTTCTTTTTTCCTTATTTTTTTACCTCAATGTATAGTCAATGATGGTGAATTTATCAAATCCTACATGGTATTAGCCTAAACATCAGTCATTCATTATTCTAGTTATTGTCGCTGCCTCTTTCCTTCCTATGGTTACCGACGTTCACACTGATTCCTCTTTCACTCTATCTGCCCTCTTCTTCACATGCTTATAAATAAGATTTTTTCCACGAATTATCCTATGGCAGAACCAAATCTTACCTCCTCTTGCTTATCAAATAAAATATTGGATACATCGACGACACTGGTCCTCTACCCCATCAATCATCGACACTCATGGTGTCAAACGCATAGTCTGACATTCTCAACTTGGCAAGATGGTGATCAATGTGTATTTTTATTCTCATTTATTAGAATCCATGGCCGAAGCCTTAGGTATTAAGGATGCTCGGTCCATATAAGCTGCCTATAGCCACAACTCCATTGAGCAAATGCAAAATATTTGTGATTCTTTCTGTCAACTAAAAAAAGGTAATTCTACTTTAAATCCCATTATAATCAATTATCTACCATCATACATCTGGTTGATGATGTTGATACGTCTCTTTGGTTTCTTTGCGGTCTTGATCCTTCTTTTGAGATTTTATCCACTGCTTAATGTGTTGTTAAACCATTAACTACCTTTCATGACCACTTTTCTTAAGATGAAGTTCATTGTCTTTTTATCCGGTCAATGCATGGCTCCACCATGCCTCAAGCATCCTTTGTCGCTAACCATGCTCGTTCCCTCAGGTTAATCAACTAATAGTCGTTCTTATGTAGGCAACCATGGCCAGAGCTCCGATAGTCACGACTCTTACTCAGATGGTCAAAGTAATGGTTTCCTACCTCCTCACTATTAACTATGTTGCAAAGATAGTCATTATGTGACCCAATGTCCAAATATTACCTATGTTTCATCTCATACTCTGGTGTTAGATTCAAACCTTGCTACCTCTTTTCAATCCCAATGCCATGTTACTAACAACTTTCCTGATTGGTATGTTGACCCTGGAGAAATCACCTACATGACCATTTCCACCTCTAATCTTGATGCCGCAAACACCTACACAAGAAATATCATGTCGTCTTTGGTAATGTTAATACTATTCTTGTTTCTCACATTGGTCATTCGCTGATTTTAGAAAAGATTCAACTTCTAGATGTCATTGTAGTCCTTCATCTTACAAAAAAACTCTTTCCTTTAGAAACTTACAAAAGATGAACCAATTGATATCTTATTTATTGAAAAACATTTTTCCACTCTGAATCGCGTTAGTCATTCTAACTCGAGATTAATTGTGGTCTTTACATTCTTGAGCAAGGTAAAAAAATCATCTTTGGAAAGTTTGTCTTTAAATTGCCTTTCCATTAGAAAACTTACAAAAGATCAACCAATTAATATATATGTTACTTCTTTTTTACTAAAACCACATGTTTTCACTTCTTGCCAACTTTCAAAATGCAAACCTTTACATTTTGAACTAAATAAAAAATGTTCATTGCATGTCATAGACATTGTTCATTATGATTTGTGGGGTTTAACTTTTATTATTTGTAATATTACATCATCTTTGTGGATGATTTTTTCCGGCTCACTTGGTTTTATTCGTTGAAATCTTAATCACTTGTATTTCCATGATTTTCAAGCTTATAGTAGTTTGTTTTGGATGGAGTGACGAAGGATATCAATCATGCTTTACTTGTAATGAATGCACATATGCATGTTGTATAATAAAGAATACATATTATATTGGTCACATATAATTCTTAAAATCTACATGATTAGAAGAAGAGCATGTTGTTCGAGGGTTCAACATAAACATATGTCTTCTTAGTGTAACGTCCCAATTTTCATAATAATTTTTTCATTTATAAATAAGATAAATTCCAATTTTCATGAAATCATAATAAAGATAAAACTACTTGTCCATAAACTATAATCCAAAATTCCAGATCAGAGTAAAAATAAAAATCATCGCGGAAATCTCAAAACATAAAAGTTGTTGATGTGTGTGTACAATCACGCATTCGCCTTCCCCTATCAGAAGAAGTACCTAAAAAGCATTTAATCAACATTTGTAAGCATAAATCTTAGTGAGTTTCCCAAGATATCACATACACCACATTAACAACTATTCATGAAAATAACGTTCTATTTGACTCAAGGTGCTACAACACCAGTGTTGTCATCAACTAACGACCTATTTGACTCATGGTACCGTAATACCAGTATTGTCATCAGCCTAACGACCTATTTCAGCCCAACAATCTATTTCAGCCTAACAACCTATTTCAGCCCCACGAAACATGTAAACATACAAGCAGACAAGTGAGACCCTACTAG